GACAACAAACAAACCAAATCTTCTCTTGAATCAAATTCATAAATTATTTTATACTTAACATTTTTAATACGGTTCTTGAAGTGGACACCTTATATATAACCATATTCTATAAGGATTCATTTTATTACGAATGATTTATTATCGGTAGAAATATAACACATCAGTGAATGACAACATTCTATTATCTAATAAGCAGTACGTCAGGGTCGGGCAATATATCAATCAATATATATAAGTACGACTTGAATTATTGGTTTAAGCCATTGAAAGAAACCAATTAGGAACTAAAAGAAAAATAGAAGTAACCAATTAACTTTTTGTAAAAAAAAAAAAAAAAAAAAAAACCGTAAAAATCTATCACTCACTTCTCTTCATCAAACAAAAATTAGTTAAGAGGATTCACTTAAAATCTGGAATTCACAGAAAATGGTTGAAATGGTGATATAAATCATAATGCACTATGAATCATACAAGTACCAATCAGGTCCATTTTGTGACTATATTATACCATGCCATGTGAAAGTGGACTTTAACATCGAACTGTCCAAGTAGGATGTCCCATTGATCTTTTGGTGGTGAGATTGCTGAAAAAGGAATCTAAATGAAGTGCATGCATTTATGCCAAGCACGTGAGTTCAGTAAAGTTGTCTACTGTAGCAATAAATACTCCCTAATAATCTTTGATACATGTATACATGCATATTTAAAATGTGTCTGCATCTACAGATATATATATAATATATAGGCATGCAAACAAACCAACCTATGAAATTTAAGTTGATTGATGTGTAGAAAGAAAATAATGCCTGTTTTTGTTGGCTATGGTTTCAACTAACTAAATAATTCCTATGTAAAGAAAAGAAAAGAATAAATGGATCAACAAATATTATTATTATTGTATTCAATTATTTGTTGTGTTGATTTATTTTAACAACAAATCCCTTATACTATATATACTATTCTATCATAAACCTTTGAATTTTTCAAAACAATTCTCAACCACATACATGATACATGCACTTACTTGATACATGTACACATTTGATACATGTACAATAACAGATACATGAATAAACCCAAAATGCATAATGAACATGGCATTAATTTAATTTTAACACACCCCATTTAATGTCATGTTGTGACACCCAACAATTCTATAAAGTATTCAAACTTATCTCTTGGAAGTGCTTTGGTGAAGATGTCCGCATCTTGGTCTTCGGTCTTGCAATACTTGAGTTGAATCTCATCCTCTTCCTCTTCTTCTTGAATTTCTTCCTTGCTAATTCTTTAATTGTATTTTCAAACCACTTCGGCTCAACAACATAAAAATTGCAACTTGCATACACATCACGAAGATTTTTCATTCTTCTTGGAGTTGAACTTGGAGATAAGGAATTTGAGTTTGATGGAGAAGTTGGGATTGATTGTAAACTAAATACAAGAGACATTTCTTGTGGAACTTCAAGAATATCTTCATTTTCATTTTCTTGATTTCTTGATTCTTCATTGAAAGTGGTAATCTGATCTTGAACTTTCTTCTCTTTCCAATCCCAAGCAGCTTTCTCATTAAAGGGAACATCTCTACAAATAATCAATTTATTTTTCTTTAAATTAAAGAGTCTATAGTCCTTTGATTTTGAGCTATCACACAAAGATGCATTTTTCACTACTTCATCAAGTTTGCGCCTTACTTCTCTTCGAACATAAGCAAAACAAATACACCCAAAAACTTTCAAGTGGTTCAATGATGGCTTCCTTCTACTCCATGCTTCAAATAGAGTTTTATTCTCCAACGCTTTTGTTGGACTCCTATTCATCTAGTAAACAGCCGTATACACGGCTTTACGCCAAAATGATTTAGGTAGCCCCTTCTCATGAAGCATTGATTTTCCTATCTCAATAATTGTTCTATTTTTCCTTTCTGCCACTCCATTTTGTTGTGAAGTGTACCCAACCATTAATTACCTCTCCAAGCCAATATCTTCACAAAACTTTTCAAACTCATTTGAGTTGTACTCTCCACCTCTATCACTTCTTAACACTTTGATAAGATGGCCACTTTGCCTTTCAACAAGCTTTTGAAATTTTTTGAAAATAGAGAACACATCTGATTTTTGTCCCATGAAATAAATCCATGTCATTTTTGAAAAATCATCAATGAAAATAATAAAATACTTGTTACCCGCATGAGTTAGTGTTGTCATAGGTCCACACACATCAGTATGAACAAGCTCTAATGGTGCTTTAGCTCTCTATGCCTTTTCTTTCGGAAATGACTTTCGGTGATACTTGCCAAGAGCACAACCTTCACAAACTTCTTTAACTTCTTGTATTGTTGGCTGACCATACACCATGCTATTTTGTTGTAAATTCTTTAAGCTTTGGAAATTCAAATGCCCAAGTCTTTTATGCCAAAGCCATGACTCATCAACAGCATCTATCTTCAAGGCCATATTTTTTTAACATGAAAAAGTAAGAGGAAAGCTTCTATTTTTCCCGATCTTGATTTTTGCCACATGCAATATGATTTTGTCCTCATTTGTCATAAATTTTGCAAGAGTCCTTATCAAAATGAATGGAGTACCCATGCTCTACAAGCTGTCTAACACTTAACAAATTTTGCTCCAATCCAGAACAAGTAACACATCCCGAATATGCTTTCTTCTTTTGTTTGTCTCAATGGCAATAGTACATTTTCCCTTTGCTTGGACCAAGGCACCGTTTCCCATCCTCACTTGAGAATTTGATGAAGAATCAATTTCCAAAAACATGTTTTTATCTCCGGTCTTGTGGTTACTACACCCACTATCAAGAAACCACACATCATCCTTTTGTTCCGATGCCGTGTAACAAGCATAAAACATGCTCGCTTCACTTCTTGCTCTTCGGAAAAATTAGCTTGCTGATTTGTTTTCAACCGGCAATCTTTTTGAACATGTCCAAATTTCTTGCAATTGAAACATTGAGGTTTTCCTTGAAACCAACAATCTTTGTCAACATGGCTATTTCTCTTGCAAATTCCACAATTTTGTTGAGTGGACTCTATACTTCCACTTCTCTCAAAAATATTTCTTCCTCTTTTGTGTCTTTCACCTTTAGAAGATTCACCTTTGGATCGATCGAAACTTGATGGGTATTTTTCTTAATTTTTGGAACTAACATTCAACTTGGATTGAAAGACACTTTCAATTGTCTTTTCGGAGCACCTACTCAACATTTGCTCAAATGCTTTTATTGAACCCATTAATTCTTCAACACTCAAGTTTTTAAGCCTTTAGTCTCTTCAATAACAACAACAATGGAGTCATATTTTTTCAGCAAACTAATTAGAATTTTTTCAACAATTCTTTGATTAGAAATATTTTCTCCATAAGTCTTCATTTGATTTACCACCTCCTTAAGTTTAGAAAAATAATCTTTCAACAACTCCATTTCTTTCATCTTCATATTTTCAAAATCTTCTCTCAAGGATTGGAGTTTTACAATTCTTACCTTCGTGCTGCCTCTATGCTCCTTCTCAATGATTTCCTATACCTCCTTTGCTTTACAAGCATTGATAATTGTATTAGTAATTCCTTGTTGAATCAATCTTAAAGTTTTTGCATCTTTCTTCTTATAATTCTTCAATTGTTGTCATGGGGCATTCGTCAAAGTTGTTGTATCCTCCGGTTCATTATACTCATCTTTAACATAGTCTCATAAATCATATGAGAGAAAAATGGTCTTCATCTTCACATGCCAAAAATTATAATTTTGCCTATCAAAAATGGGAATTGCTGATTGATGGGCACCTTGGTTTTGATTGCTTGTAGTCGCCATCACAATCGATCTTCTTCGGGGTTTGTTTTCCCGTCAATAAGCTTCACGCCTAGTTTGTTCTTGATCGAAATCAAACTCTGATACCACTTATGTTGACTATAGTTTTAACTAACTAAATAATTTTTATGTGAAGAGAGGAGGAGAATGAATGGATTGACAAATATTATTATTATTGTATTCAATTCTTTGTTGTGTTGATGTATCTTAATAACAAATCCCTTACACTATATATACTATTCTCTCATACACCTTTGAACTTTTCAAGACAATTCTCAACCACACACATGATACATTCACTCGCATGATACATGTCCACATTTGATACATGTACAATAACAAATATATGAATAAACCCAAAATGCATAATGAACATGACATTAATTTAATTTTAACAGTTTTAAAATTGATTTATTAATTTATACCGGATGAAGCATGTTAATTTTAATCACCTATAATGGCATTTTAAATAAAAGGATTAATTCAATAACAGGTGAGATTTGGACTAATATTAATTAATTGATTTAGGTTGCCTATTTGGCAGATTTCTCTTTTAAAAAGCATAAGGGAATATATGACACCTACTGCCATTCTGGATGAAAAGTTGGACCCCTCAATTAATTCATTGTTTTTGCATCATATCACAGTAGGTTAAAAGGCAACATAAAGCAATTAATATCCAACTACCTTTCATGTCTTTTGGCAATTTCTGTACGCCATAAAGTACGTCTTGAATACATGTTTCGTTGTGTCAGTAAAATGGGATTGGGATGGCAATTTTTGATGACTAATTTTTTTATTTTTAGTGAGCACCAACTCCTCTGAGCAGGCCCTTTGGATCCACCTAGGCTACAAATTTGGGGTGTAGAGTTCGTTCCAAGAATATACTGGAGACGTCAAGAGTGATAATGGAGGTTAGAAAGTTTCGAACACTAGCCAAGTAAGAGCCAATGCCAAGCCCTTACCAACTCATCCAAGCCCTCGCTGTCTTTGATGACTACTTAATGAGTGTGATCATTCAAATTAATATTACATTGTGTATCTATAATTATTTCAGAACTATAGCATAACTGAGTATTGTGTTTTGGTTATTTTGCAATCAAATGTTTACATGAATTGTATTTCTATATATGCAGAAACACTTAATTTAACTCTGTTAGTAGCATAAAAAAATTGTGTGTACGTGTTTGTGCGTCATCTGCAAAGACAGACAGAGAAAGGGATAGATTTATAATAAGTTCATAAAAACCAGATTCAACAAAGATAAAAGCTAGCTAGCCACAGTGACAGTGTGACACATTACATAAGATAACCATCAAAAGCAATGAACAGAGAAGTCATGCCTCGATGGGTTATTGTTACTACAGGTACACAAGTAGAGTAAAAGACAGACAACTACATCACATATATATATATATATAGGATCACACTGGGTAGATAGAGCTACATAACTAGCAGTGCTTGGTGCAGAAGCAACGACGACGGAAGCCCCTGCAGTGTCCACCGTGGAATCCCTCCGTCTGGCACACGGCGGCGCAGTTGCTCTTCCTGACGCATGATCCCTTGAAGCGGTGGCTCTGAGACTCGCATGTCCTAGCTTCCACAACCATCGGACATATCTCTGTAATTAATTTCAAATCAAGAAATTAATCAAAAAATTAAATTAAATTAATAAATATGTGTAGTTAACAAGAATTGTGTTCCACATTTTTATAGCACACACATGGCCTCACTTGAGATTGTATTTAACACCATGGTGATCAACTCATGCACTATGAATCATGTGAAAATGACTTTAAGATATACAGAATCGTCCAAATAGCTACAGTTGATGTCCCATTGATGATCTTTTGGTGGTGAGATGGATTTAACATATATATATATATATGGCTATATATCAATTAAAACATAGTGTGTTATTATATATATATATATCAATTAAAAAGAGAAGTGCAAAGCAATATTAACAAAGGCTAAATGAAGTGCATGCATATATAAACGTAGGTGATGAGTAAAGTTTAGTATTGTAATGAATAATAATGCTCAATGAAATTTGTATGCAAAGTAAGAAATAGAAAGAACCAGTGGCTACGAGAAGCATCATCAGAACAAAAACAGTCGAAAGCAAACGCATAGAACGCTCCATCTTAGATAGAGAAGTTGCAAACTCAGGGATGAGGGGGAGAGATCGAGAGGACTTGTTTGGCAGTTGATCCATGCATTGGTGCTTGCTTTATACAAGGCTGATACTGAAGGAATATGCTTATATTGCATAAAGAGATGAATAGACAACTGCATATAGTGTCAGGATTGGTCTTTGCTTTTTCTTTGTTACATCTTTGATATATATATATATATATATATATATATATGATCTGTCTATCAACTTTTGTCCATGCCCTGGCACATCTTTTTAACCCCATCTATTATTGCTCCGCACTTTATCACCATGCGTTCACACACAAGTTTTCTATTTACTTTGAAAATTAACCACTGTAGTTGTGAAACTTCATCACTATATGGGTTTCTTTGGCAATGTTTTTGTTTTCGGTTGAAATAGCTATGATTTATTTTGAAATACAAACTTGTTTGATAATTAAATTTTCATATTGTACAATGTTTCAAAATAAAGAAAATGACAAAAAAATAAAAAATTTGATTTTGTTTTTATTTTCCGAAAAAAAAAAATTTGTTTGGATGTTCGTAAACAAAATATTGTATTGCTTTTCTTAAAAAAATAAAAATTCATGCTATATGTAGGTACATAAAATCGCGGACCGAACACTATTGTCAAATCTTAGAAACTTGATGCGTAAACACTCAAGAACAAAGAAAATAATTGTTGGGAAAATATAGCAAAGCAAGAAGAAGAAACTCAAGAGGAAGAACCAGGATTTATAGGGCGAGAATAGCTCGTCTTTTATTTGGGCCTTGCCCTATATTTAATAAGCTCCTGATTCCCTACGACATGTTGGCGTCCATTACTCTTAGCCATGTTGGTCAGGGCTTCTAGGGCTAGGTTTCAATCATCAAGCCGGTTTGGTACTTAAAGCTTCCCTTCGGCCCTCCAGGTGTCCATTGGGATTGGGCTTCTTTCTTCGGCGCAATTTATTGGGCTAACATCTTTATTCGATTTGAGTACACACGCATATATATTGTAATGTTTTCGTTTTTCGCCATTTTTTCATTTTTTTTTGGAATTTTCTGTTTTTGCAAGGGCATTTTCGTTTTTTCTCATTTTGTTTGCTGAACACCGTGGGGTGTGTCAGAGAGTTGTTTGGGACATTTTTTTGAGTTCAGGATTTTTGGAAATGCACCGATTGCCATTTCGGCATTTTTTCGTCTAGTGTGAGACCCGCTACCGGAATTATCGCGTACGGGGTTTTTGTCTGGGTCCATTTGCATCTCATTCATTTTTAATTAGTGTATTTTATGTGGCTATTGTGTAATTAGTGTGTATATATTATGTGTGGTGCAAAAGTCAAAAAGGTGAGATTTTTAGTGGTAGGACCCACCACCACTTATCCATTTGTTTTTTGTTGACCTTAAGGATTTCATCCACGGACAATCTAGAGGTTTTGATGATAACAAACCATTAATGGTGTTTAAGGACTAATGTTTACATTGAGTGTTATATAGATTATTCATATTCAAAGAATGACCTCAATGAAGCACTAAAGATCATTCCAAGTATTCTATTATTCAAGATCACATCAAGGAAATAAATGGATACAATGAAGACATGAGTCGCAAGGAACCAAATGCAATGTCCATCTAAAGATAGCTTGGACTACAATGAGCAAGAAAGCAACTCATAGGAAGGAAGGAAGGAAGCAATACTACCTCAAAGCCTACACGATCATGGACAAAGCATGAAGAAATGGGTAGATAGGTTGGTGAGTGTTTAGGATTCAATGTCAAAGTCTTTATGAATACATTTGAAGCTCATCTCTATAAGACCATGCATATTGATCATTACATCATTCATAAGTTCCTATGACCATTAGCAATAGACTATGAACTTCATTTGTGACGGCTCAAGTTTTTCAAACCGGTGCGTCAGTGATGAACCGAAAGATGACCCGATAACGAATCCGAAATGCAGAAGCAAAAGACAAAACAACAGTCTCTAGAGACACAATACATCCCTAAGACACCAATGTGACACTCAATGAGGTCATGGAACCCAAGGGAAACAAATGCGGAAGCAACATTTCAAAAACGAACAAGAATGGACCTAGGGGTAAAAACATCATTTCTAGCTTAAAAGTGGGTGCCACCGAGCACACCATTAGAAAGACAACGAAAAATTAACGAATTTAGACTCAAGAATCACTTGAGTCCGGATGAAGAAGATATGGTCAACGGAAGAAATAGGGGCAAAAAGGTCAAAATGGTTAACCCAAGAACATCTAATCGATTAGGAGATCTTCCTAATCGATTAGGAGGCCAAAATTCAGTGACCAACTCACTGCCCATGCTCATTTAACCGATTACGAGATTCACCACCCGTACACTTGACCCGTACACTTGTACTACAACTCAGCAAAAACCTGGCAACAGGGGTTTTTCGGGAAAAAATGGGATTTTGAGGCCCTAGATGACATTTTCTGAAAAAACACAAAGAAGAAACCCCCCTCAAAATTGAGTTTTCTACGTGAATCTTAAAAAAAATTGAAAAATACTCACTGTGAAATGCCCAAAATGCCCTCCAAAGAAATCTGGTCCAGAGGGTCGAAAAAGCTACTAAATGGAAAATAAAAAACTGAACTTTGCGATCGATTTCCGATACCAAGATGGCATTTTCTGGAAAAACACGAAGAAGAAACCCCCCCTAAAATCACATTTTCTAAGTGACTATATGGAGAACGGAATTTATTTCCAAAAGAAAATTCCCAAAATACCCTTAGGTCAGATTATGCAACAAAAGTGTAAAATGAGTCCGTAGGAGGCTCATTTCACAAAAGAAGAAGCTTTGCCCGGAAACGACCATGCATGCAAACGTAACTTACCTAATAAGATGTGCTACAATGGTCCATAGCTCAAAAATATGGCCGACACAAAATTTGACCCCCCCAACGGCCAAATGCCAAAAATAAAATTTGGAATGAAAACTTGGAATCCAAAATTTTGAAATGACTTCAAAATACCGTATGACCTTTGGCCACACCTCATACATGTTAAATGAATTCTAGATAACGAATTTCATACACAATACACGCTCCAGTGCAAAATAGCATACTAAAACGCATAAATTTTCATATAATCTCATTAAAGGCAAAAATCAACATCCATGACATAAATGCGATTCTAAAAGAAGTTTGGCCCTTGGCCTCATGTCATATACATAAAATAAGAATCAAAAGTGTGCTTAGGTACACATTACAAGTTTAGAATAAAAAATACACATTTGACAAATAAGACTACAATTGGCATTCCGAGCCAACCTTCACAAAAATGGAAGTCTTCAAGTCCACAAGTCATCCAAACATAATGGAAGTCTCAACTTTAATTCTTGTACCTGAAATATGCCATAGTATCGTAGGGGTGAGTAACATAAAGCTACTCGTAGGAAATGAGCATGCATCGACCTACGTTTTACAAGTTTGCATGATTTAATTATTGTGGTTCATTCCACCTAACGTCTATGTCAAAGGTGAGACTCAAGGAGCATCCTAGCTACCTAAGATCATTTCTAGCATCAATCACCTCATTCTTGCAATTTTAGCAACATAGGGTCATGCTTACACAAAGCAACAACATAGGAGCATGCTTACACAAAGCAACAACATATAGATTCTCAAGGTTATCAACTTGAAGTCTAAAATGCAATATCAACTAAATATAACAATTTAGCATAATTAGTATATCTAATACCACATATCAAGACATAGATTCTCTAGGTTATCAACTAGAAATCTAAAAGTGTGTAATCAACTAAATATAGCAATTTAGTATGGATGTACTTCACAACATCAAAATCGCCAATAGCCAAAACCACAAGTCAACAAGGTAAACATGATTGTCAACTTGGAATTGAATGCGAAGACAATTAGTGGAAGACTTGGACATCACATCTCGGATTTCCGCCGAGAACAAAATGGTTGTTCCGGGCACTAACCCGCAGGGAAAACCACCCTAAGTGCGTACTATCTCAATGACTTAGAGGACTTACGTCCCCGTACTAGAGCCAAACCCTAGCCATCTCAACTCAACAATGTCCCAAGATTCCAAAATAAGCCAAATAAGTTCACAACTTATACATATTACTACTACATAGTAACAAGTTAGGAATTTAACTCTCAATTGTGCATAATAAGCATTTCATATCCATAATGCTATGAAATCACAAGCCAACAATATATTCATATTAGAAACATACTCTCATGAATATAAGTTTAACAACAATGCTCTTTAATGCATATAACACAATCAAGTGAATACATCACAAGTCTAAATCCATGCTTTTAAAATAGAAACAACTTCTAAAACATGATTAGATCCATGGATAATCAAGATAGAATTTAATTACATCAAAATAATTAAACTCTCTAGATTTCAAATCATTTCCAAATGGACTCAATTTAATATATTTTAAAAGACATATCATAATCATTACATATATTCACACACAAGCTTAATTAGGCCCATGAAACCACAAAAATAGATTTTAATTAATTCTCTTAATTAAAGTCTCTAAATTTTCAAACTCAACCAAATGCTCTCAAATTTAAGTATGTTAACAAATATGCCAAAACTTAATTTAGAACCATAATACAATTCAATTTCATGCAAGGTACAGCCATGAACTTTAATCTTTCACAAAAGATAAATATTAATTAAAAAGTGCAATTCTTATTTAATTAATCCAAATTTAATATATGTTAACCAACACATTAAAACAAGATTTTCTAGCATGCCACAATTCAAATCCAAGTTACACATCATCATGAATTTTAAATATTATACAAAGAAATAAAAATTACTAAATTTCTAGATTTGATACAAGACATACATATATGTTATATAATCATGGCAAACACACAATACAACACACAAATAATCCTAAAACATTCCCTACCTCCATTTGAGATGAAATCTCAAATCCCCACCAAAATAATCGGCTCCGAATCCGACGAAACTCCTAAGTTTTGTCGGGGACAACAGCACGAACATGAATCCCAAGGAAGCCCCATC